GCACTCGATTGGACCCAGCCTTCTTCTCGGGCAAGGAGCCATTGTCGGGAAGCCCGGACCACCACTCATCGGACGGGCTCCAATCATTGGACGAGGACCACCACTCGGACCAACTTCCGCCACGCTCGGACCACTTTCCATCCCGCTCAGACTGAGACTGAGACATGGCAAAATAATGGGCTAATGGCTTACTTCAGACATGCTTCAAACTCGGACATACTTCAAACTTGACTTCATCGTGCTACTGGCACTCTGTCATGGCTGTGGTGTGCATGGGTTCTGCTGGCAGTGGCCTTGAGCCCTGACTTTCGACTAGGAGGTTTCCAACTGCAAACACAAGCACGCCAATGACAACTGTGTGCTGAACTGGGCTTGGCACATCCTCGGGCCAGAAGGCTCGATCGCTGTGGCCAGCATGGACCTGGGTTGATAGAAATAACATCTCGGGTTGGAGCCTACGTCTCGGGAACTCAATGTCAAGGCACTCAGACAGTCATTCCTACTTTCCTCAAACTCCGAATGCCCGGGTTTAGGGTTTAGGGTTTAGGGTTTCGGGTTTAGGCTCGGTCTCGGGCTCCCGCGGATGCCTCGGGCAAGCTGAGGCCCCGGGCGAACTCGTAGCACTAAATTTTTAAACCACATGGCACGTGGCACATGACATCCAAGGCCCTCGGACTCGGGCCCTGAATGAGCATGAACCTTTTTGTGATGCTGTGACAAACAGTGCACTTGGGCACTGTCTGAGCACAGCATCGGCTTGGAGCTGTGACGAACACGCCCAAAACTCGGGCATGTTCGAGCACAGCTCCCCCACCTCGGACTCGGCCAGCGAAGTCGCCGTTGTCGAAAGCTCAGGGGGTTTGCTGGGGTTTCGGGCTTACTCGGGCTTAAACTTAATATCGGGCTTAGAGTCTCGGGCTTAAAGGTCCGGGTTTAGGGTACAGGGTCCCTGTGGGCTTATTAGGGGTTGGGGGTTGAAGTCTTGGTCTCGGGCCCACCCACCCCCCACTAAACCCTACAACAAACACACAGAGGCCCCGGCATGGTTGCTTCAACGACGATGGTGTGGTTCGGCAGAACATGGACGAAAGGAAGGGTGGTTAGGTCCCAAAACTCGGACTCGGCCGGGCACTTGGTTAAGTGAGACTCGGGCTTTCAAACTCAAAACTGGTTAAGTGGGACTCGGGCTTTGGGGATTTTGCACATGGCTACTGGTCCTGAGACTCAAACCTCGGGCCTAAACAAGGCAGACACAAATACCATTATATCTATATCATATTAATATAAATTGTATTATTATTAGTCTAATAATATATAGTATACACAACTGGAGCAAAAAAGCTTAGAACCTGCCAAGAGTGGGCAAGTATATCTATAAATTATATATATATATATATATATATATATACGTACCTTCAAGGGATCGTACAGGGCACCTACTTCCCTCATTCCCCACGAAGAAACAGTGGGTCGCTGAAGCGATGACAGCTTTGGAGCTGTGAGCCCTAAAACATCGAAACCCTAAGCCGCCCAAACACTGAACCCTACAACCCGAAACGCCCCTAAACCCTAAACCCTAAACCCTAAACCCTAAGCTCTAACCCTAAACCCTAAACCCTAAACCCAAAACCCTAAACCCAAACCCTAAACCCTAAACCCTAAACCCTAAACCCTAAACCCCCACTCAGTCGAAGAAGAACTCGGGAAGCTCCTCTGGCTCGGGATCCGATTCCAGCAGCTCAGGGTTCGCCCTCAGGAAGCTACGACGCACCTGGACTGTTCGGTTTAGGGTTTAGGGTTTAGGGTTTAGGGTCTAGGGTCTAAGGTCTAGGGTCTAGGGTCTAGGGTTTAGGGTTTAGGGTTTAGGGTTTAGGGTTTAGGAGTTTAGGGTTTCGACTCTCACACTGGCACAAGCGGGCGAGGCAACTCCTGTCGAGATCTCTAGAGTGGGTACATTGACCACCAGTAACGAACCAACCAGGGTCAGCATACCCTTCTCCTACATCTATCGGGTGTACGGTTCAGGGCCATACCGCAGAAGAGCTGACTCCTGATCGATCCCAACAAGGACAAACTCAGAACTAACCGGTACGTGTCTGTTGGCCAACTCAAGTTCATTGACCCAGTTGGCGTGTCCAACAGGGGGGCTCAAACCATGATAGCTAACAGTATACCTCGATCACCTGTCCACCTCAGAAACGAGCCTCCCCCATCGGACCTGGTTGGCTAATCCTAGGTACACTGCAACCTAGCGAAGATACGTGCGGAGGTTGCCGCGAAACTCCCGAGAAGCAGGTATCGACTCTGTCCCCACTACAACACAACCCGAGCGGCTGTTCCTCCTAGAAAATCAACGTGTGGCAAGGGGGCTATATGAGTGAGACTTCGCTCTGCTCTCAGCACTCGATGTCCCGGGCAGGACTGCTGTCCATGGCTTACACTCACATGGCGATGTACAGTTTACTCTGTCATCCCTGGGCGTCAGGAGGCGCAGCTTGATAGGCAGCGACGGCCGTGCACACTGTCCATGCAGAGAGCGTGCTCGTGGGGCTCTCCAGTCCGAACTCGTGCCGAGCCCAGGCTTCACGCAGCGTGCAGTCTTGTAACAGGCATTGCCTTCCGGTCCCCTCCTCTGGTTGCTTCCGGGCCTGTCTTCTTGCGTCTTCCACCTCCTTCGTTTTTTGGCCCCTTCTCGCCGGCTGCATTTGTCGGCTCGACCATCTCGTAGTCCTCATCGAGGCCTTCATCTTCGCCCTGCTTCACCACGATGATTCTACTCAATGGCAGGGTGAACGCCAGGTTCTCCTCTGCCTCCGCGCCCTCAGGCGAGCTGGAGACCTTCGCGCCTATAAGTCCTCGGATCGTCCTCGACTTGGAAGAGTTTTTGCCACGGGCAGATCTCGCGAGGGCCTTGACCACCGACACCGTGGCGGGATATTCATTCACCAGCCCCGTCCAGTAGGAGTCTCCAGAGCCTTGACCTTGGGCTTGCGTCGTGGCCATGGCTTGTCGTAGGGCCAGGACCCTCTCGTAGCCTTAGACCTCCAGATGGTCTGGTGATGTCAGGCGCCTGGATTCCCCCAGATAGTCCGAGATTGAGGTGGACCCAGCGGGGAAAAGATCGAATTGACCTAGCCGTAGGCTAGGAGAAAAGAGAACCAAAAAAGCTCAGATTTCCACTTGTACTTTCTTGAGCCAAAATGGCTACGGGTTAGGGTTTAGGGTTTAGGGTTTAGGGTTTAGGGTTTAGGGATTAGGGATTAGGGATTAGGGTAGTTTAGGGTTTAGGGTTTAGGGGGAGCCTCCTTCTCAAGCATTACAAGTCTTGTGGTCCCTGCTCTAAATATGGAGGACGGCCCCCTCTGAACAGAATAGCTGACTAGCCTGAATCAGGCCAAATCCATAGCAGAGGCTTGTCAGAAACGGTCTAGGCGCCTTCAAGCAGAACAGGAACCTGCCATTTCCGTGGAGGTCGAGGAGATCTTGGATGGTGTGGCCGTAGCTTTCGAAGCCATAGGCTGACATGAAGTTTACAAGCCTCGCCGCAGAGCCAAAGTGTCCGGAAGGAGCCAACTCATCTAAGTTACTCACGACGAAGCCTTTCTTTGTGTAGATGATGATGTCTGGGCCGTTCTCGATTGTAAAGTGGCGCCGGCCGTTTTCACGCTCCACTCCTCGAACCTCCAGAAAGTAATTCGTGAACTCGGTCTGAATCTCTCGGCGCACCAGTTCCTTGCGAGAATCGGCCATCGACACGATGGCATGGGCCAGTCCGTTTGTCGTCATCTGCAAGACGTCTGAGGAACCCCCTCGCTTCTAAACTGAGTGCAAAATGCTCCATGGTCGAAAGACTTGGTAGCCCAGGAACTATATTGTGATAAGGGCACCCTTTTTTGGTTGGTTACTTTATAAGAGAACTCACGAAAAAAAAAAAAAGGGGTAAAGGGTACCACGGGGCTACCACTAAGGTCTGTGAGTCACATTTCTCATCTCGCACTTCCATGCACTCTGCGCAGCATCATGCTGAAGCCAAAGCCTTCGACCAGATGAACTCATGAACATGTCTACCTAAGGGTTTAGGGTTTAGGTTTTAGGGTTTAGGGCTTAGGGTTTAGGGACGAGTGTTCCAGAATCGACCTGTGAATACGTAGATGCAGGCTCTAGCAACTCTTTCAGCCTTCTCACCTGGGCGTACAGCCCAGCTCCATGCACCTTCGGGGATATAAGGAGGGACCCCTACAAGGGAACCTTAACCGTATTAAATAAATATATACACATCCTAAGGAGCTCCTACATTGTCGCTAAGGTAACAGGGTCCCTCCTTTAGTCCCTTGGCAACCCAAGCCCAAACCAAAAACCACAACTCTCGACGAGGTTCTCGAGCAACCGAAGGCAGCAAAGGGTTTAGGGTTGAGGGTGTGGTTTGAAACAGAGCCTAACCTCTTAGACATGGTGAAAACAAGGAAAAAGGGGGTGAGGCTTAGGGTTAAAGTTTAGGGTCTACAAGGTTTAGTTCGAGTTTACGCTTTGGGAATTTGGGTGGCTTATTCAGAACCTGGTCGCCAAGGGTTTGCAGGTCTGGCGTGTTTCATGAAGCAGTCCAAGATTGTTGCCTCAGCACCCTTGCAGAGGCTTCATACAAGGCTCAGCCCATGCATGGCATGCATACACGATAAATCCCCTAAACCCTAAAGCATTGGGTTTAAGGTTTCGGGCTTAGGGTTTAAAGGGCAAGCTCATCATGCCTATCAGGGTTTTTTGGCTCAGGGATTAGAATGGCTTCATGTGCGCGACTGTTCGGGGAGATACCTTCATCACCTCTCATTGCCTAGGTTGGTCCGTAAAACCCTGTGAAGATTATTCCCAAGTAAGGTATCCTGAAACCCAATACAGGAATAGATAAAAACACTCAAATGTAGTATCTGGTGGCTAAAAACCCTAAACCCGAAACGCTCATCGCCACCCCCAAAGATCAGGTGAGACTATTCTTTCAGAGACCCTTAACTTGAGGGAATCAGCCAAGACACCAGATCACCTAAAGCATCGACCACGGCTTGGATGAGACCCAAGCCCATATCCTGCCCGCAAATCGAGCTGCAACCAACTACTATGCTTAAGAACCCCAAAAGAATAAAAAAAAACAATAATCCCCATATAACCCTTAATGAGGAAGAATATTCTCTATTTTTTCGGGGTTCTTCAGCAATTAGTAACCATAAGAGTCGGATGGAGAAGAAAAGGCTGCAAGCCAGCTCTATCCACTACAAGCGTGAACTACTATTTGCTTAAGAACACCCAAAAAAAACATAATAATCCCTACATGGCCCGTATGAGGAAGAATACTTCGCATTTTATTTTTTTTTTGGGGGGGGGTGGTTCTTAAGCAAGCAATCGTGAACATGCAACAACACAGAGCTGCAAAGAGGTTTGACAGCAGGTTCAGAAGGCGCAGTACGAAGCCAGGGGGGAAATTTAAGATGCACACTGCTTCGGGCCAATTCCCAGCCCACACATCCGAAACCTGATCCCAAAGCCCATGGCCCTAAACCCTAAAGCCCTAAGCCCTAAACGCTAAACCCTAAACCCTAACCCTAAACCCAAAACCCTAAACCCTAAACCCAAAAGGATCGAGGTTTGGATCCTTTCGACCGCCTTGTGAGAGAAGGTGGCGATGCGCGCAACTCTCGCTGCCCTAGGCCCCTTGATTCTCCAACCCAAGATCCACCGAAACCCTCTAGGGTTTAGGGTTTAGGGTTAGGGTTTAGGTCTAGAAATAAGCCTCAGGGTTCAGGGTTCAGGGTTCTCAAGGTTTAGGGTTTAGGGTTTAGGTGAAGTAAACTAGGAGGGCCAGAAGGAAAGTAGGCTCTAAGGCGCTTCTATGAGCAAACTCCTGAAACCCCTTGTCGCCCCAAACCTAGTGGCATCCTCCAAAAATACCCAACATGCATACAGAAATATATACACACAGTGGAGTTTAGGGTTTAGCGATTAGGTTTAGGGTTGACTGTTTACACACATGTGAGAAGCCCTTTTTTTAACGCGCACAAAAAATGAAAACTTCCTCAAATACCTACTGTTGCTTCCGGGCTTTTTAGGGTTTAGGGTTTAGGGTTTAGGGTTTAGGGTTTAGGGTTTAGGGTTTAGGGTTTAGGGTTCATGCCTAAGGGGTAGGAACCGAGGGAACCTCGGCAATGGCCGGCCTTTGATATGAAGGGCAAGTTGATCTGCTCATAGAGCTTCTTCGCCAGCTTGCGGCGACTCTTCTTGCTTCCTGTCTTCCCATCTGAGGGCACGTCGACATTCTATGCGCCCCAGAAAATACCAACCCTGAACCCCTATTTATCTGAACCCCTATACCCCAAACACTAAATCCCAACCCACTTATAAGCCCCTTAAGTGCCCTAATATGGTTATAAGTACAGTTGTAAGTACAGTGATAATTGGTTAACAACAATTACCTCCAAGAATAGGGTCCCCCCTAAACCCTAAACCCTAAACCCTAAACCCTAAACCCTCAACCCTAAACCCTAAACCCTATACGGGGGGACAACCAAGGAAGGAAATCAACTCCCCTAATCGCCCTGATCTTATATTTCCCAGATCGAACCAAGAGACAACCAAGAACACGGATAAGAGCAACCCAGGGGGGAAGGAAAGGGAGAAGGAATCCGCACCCTTACCAAACCCTAAGAACCCAGGCACTACTTTTTGAACTTGTGGCTTTCTGTTCAAGCCCATCTTGAGCCAAATACGATTACCGGGTTCATTAACCCTTCCAACTTCCAACACTAACTCCTTTCTACAATACCAATTGCAGCTCCGCACTCCCCCTGTCCTAGGATTTCCTAGGACACATTGGAGATGCAGATCTTTTGGCCAAAAACTGCCATTACGGCAGCAGCCAGCTGCTTGAAATGCAAATTGTGGTTTAACGTCTTCCAGGACGGAATTATAGCACATTGGCTAACCTACTACCCATAGAGAATCTTTTTTCACCTTGATCCTCTCATCACTGAAGACTCCTTGGCCTTCTTCACCACAAACCGTGGTCTTCGCTACGCGAAAAGCTACTGACTCCTACTATCAGGGATTTCCATACCCTTAATAGTAACCACCACATTGTCAGCACATTGGCTGTTCCAGCGCACCTGTCTCCAGAAAGAGAAAAACCATCCCTTCATCCATACCATCCAATCACTTCTTTTTCCGATTGTTGGCAATCTTGAGGTGAAGTTGCAGCAGAATATACTCCAGGTCCGAAACTGTAAGAACAGGATCCTGTACGCCCCTTTGAATTGAGGATACCAATCCTTCTCTCTTTGCGTCCTCAATCGCCTGGCAAGATTGACCCAGCTCTTCATTCGCATTGGCAGACCCTGGTGCTCCGCATCGGATGGACGATCCTTTTCCTCAGGATCTTGCACCATTACCACCTCTTCTTTTTTGGGACTCTGACTTTTCTCCTTCTTCTTTGTCTTTCCACCGACATTTGACTTTGTGCGCGTCTTCGAGGATTTTTCCACTGCAGAAGCCACCACATTGGATGATGATCCACCCTTCTCAATGATCGCCGGCATCTTCTTCGGCTTTGGAACCATAAGGGTATAAGGATCTTCGATAGCTGCAGCTTTCCTCTTCTTTTTTACCTTTTTCTTCTCCTCCTCAACGGCAACCTCCGTCTCCGAAGTCTCAACCACTTCTTTTTCGGCAGGAATATCTTTGCTGGACTCCCCTTCTAGGGACCTCTTTTTCCCTTTTTTGGGATCCTTTTCTTCTCCCAAATTGGCTCGCTCATACCATATCCTCAGGTCATTGACCCATTCTTCCACCTCCGCGAGCGAAACATCGTACGACTTCACTACTTCGAGAAGTTCCAGCACTGACAACATTTCAGTGGTCCACGAAACCCATACTTGATCCATTTGGTCAGCATCTCCAGTGAACTTCAGGAGTTTGAACAATGGGTCCGCCTCTGCTCGAGCCAAATCTGGCTTGCCACCGGAGAGAAATGAAATCGCCTCCATCAACAGTTCCGTCATCTTGGTCTCTTCGTCATAAACCATAAAATCCTCCTCATCATCATCGAACTGTTCAGGAGGGATCTCCTTTTCTCCACCATTTGCACCAGACTTTCTCCTTGGACCATCCCTTGGGGGCGTCCTTGGAGACCTTGGCCTCTGTTTTTCCAACGGAACACCATGCTCGAAGACACACCTGTCACCAAATCGACACTTCCCAGACCGAGCAAACTGGACGCACCTCACACCAGTTGCATCATGCGAGAACCCACAATCCTTTCCAGCGAAACATTCTCTCCCTGCCACATAGTATTTGCACCAATATGAATGTAGCACCACATCATCTTCGGAATGGATGAATTTGCAGTCGTCACCAAATTTGCAGCGATCTTTCCCTTTGCCAAACCAATAGCAGAAACCCTTCTTCCTCTTCTCCAAGCGCTCTGCCTCATACCGGTCCATAGGGCGACTGTGCTCTACATGAACATTGCCATGTACCTGGGGACTGCTCCCTTCACCCGACGTGCTATCAGTATTTGGTGCTTGGAGTACAGCTGGAAAACCTGGCCTTGGTCCTACCACCTTCATGATCGGTTTTCCGCCAACTCCTGAGCCATGCTGAGACGATCCAAAAACATTGAACATCTTCATGAAGGCCTTCCTAGCGCCAATCTTCTGCACCCTTTTGATTGGACGTTTCATTGCTCCAACCTTGCATCCAGATGCATTCAAACGACGCAACCTTCTAAACCCAACTCTATGTCCCTTCTTCCAAAGAGCCATAAGAATTTTAGAGGCAGTGACATTCTCCACCTCTACCTTTTCCAATGATCCCTCACTTCCCGGAACAAACCCATCCATCTCTGAAGACCTTTCCATCTTTTTTGACACCACTTCGTCGAGGTAGTCTTCTGAAATCCAGGGAAAGTTCCCCTTAGAGGAAGGATTGTCATCATTGTTTGGTCCTTCACCAGGATATCCTTTGGTGCTGTCAAAGATCTTACCAGTAGTGCGGTCCTGCATAGAGAAATTCGAAGCCACGCGGGAGTACACTGACCACAAGAAAATCCTTGTGTCCGCCAGTCTGGATGACCCACTGGATTTCTCCTCTTCCGGAGAAACTTCTGGCGCTTTGCCCTTCCCTCCAGTGTCACCGCTTGCCTCACCTCCAGCATCTTCAATGGGAATAAGGGATTCATTGTTCCCTTGATCAAGCACCGCATCCTCTAGTCCAAGAACTTCCAGCATCGCTGTCGAAGGATCCACCTCCTCATCCGCATCGTCGTCCATCCTTCTCCAGAGAGCCTCCAATTGGTCCGCACAAGTCGCCGCTTGAAGAAACTCCATCAACCGAGCCCTCCCGCGCTGCCAGAGAAATTCTGAAACCATCACCGACCCTTGTGCTCCCAGATTCAGGAATGGGTGAACCATTTTGGCTACCCTCGCCATAAGTTCAATATGAACTTCCATGCCTGGACTGCGGCTCCAATCATAGGCAATTGCCTCCATAGCAGTACCAAACTTGTCCGTATTCTTGAATTCCCCTTCCAGACCAGGAGACAACAAGGCACCCATCACCGAAAGAGGATAATTCCCCACCGCCGGCAAGCACGGGTTGTCATGGAACGAATGATGCAGGTCACTATAATGTCCTTGATCTCTCCTTTGAAAAAGGAGTGTTCCAGTCCCTAGCTGGGCATTCATTTCATCCACTTGAACCATTTCAGCACATATCCTCTGTGCCAGGTGCGCCATTGCTGGCCAGACGGTACGATCGGTCAGACCGCGACGCATAACCCAATCAGTTGTTGGCGACTGGATCAGCGTTCCTGGATCATACACCATAACCATTGCACCGTCTCCCATTGACTGATCAGCATCGTCCTCCAGTGCCAGGTTCTCATCCTGTTCGCTTGCACCCTCGGATGACATGCTAATAACCAAATTTCGATCCATCTTATTGGACCCTTTTTGGCATTCTCTTTGCCCCATTGGCAACTTGCCAACTGCAACCTTCCAATAAATTCGAGTCAGAAGGCCTTTCACCAGCAATTGCTGAAGGTCACTCCTCACCGGACTACCATCCAACATCTTCGCATCATTACCACGGAGATCATTGCTCCCGCCTTCTCCTTCTTTTTGGTCGGTCTCCTCGCCAGGAATCTGTACTGCTCCTTCCGGCGCCGTCTCCTGTCCAGCCACTTCATGCCCAGGAAGAACTTGAGCGCTTTCAGAGACATTCACCTGTCCAGCAGCACCTTGCCCAGGTAAAACCTCATCCGTGGAGCCCACCGCCAGTGAACCAACCATAACTGAACCATCCCTTGTTCTTTTTTGAGACCGTTCAGCTCGGCGAGAAGGTTGTGGTAGCGAAAAAACTTGTGAAGTCACTTCTTGGCGGGTCTCCCCCCGCGACGCTTTGTCGCGCCCTTCGCCAAGGTGAATCGATTTTTTCGGCCCATCATTGGAGCCTGAAGAACCACCTTGTGGAACATTGCCACGACTCGCAGTTCTCCACGAATCCCTTTCTTGCAAAAAGAGTTCCTTCAGGCGTTGTACCGCATTGGTCTCCTCCTCGCTTGAATCGCTTGAGGAAGCGGCATACGAGACCAAAGCCTCCGCCTGGTCATCATCATCCACCACATCTGCCCACGCTCTGCTGAATGGATACGACAAACCACCACGAGGTTTCACCGGCTCCAGTGGCTTCGGTTTTTCCACCACTTCCGCCAGTTGCACTCGTCGTTGTGACCGAGATCGTGGCACCTGTCGCACCTGTTTTTTGTCCAGCAAGGGCCTTCCCCTTCTTACAGGGTTTGATCTTGACCGATATTTTTTCGTTGGTGGATTCACCGGCGGCATTCCAACTCCCACCAACCGCAGCTTCTGTACGCACAACGGAGACCTCTGCGCAAGCGTCCAACCATCACGGTACCTGACCTTATCAAAAAGCTCCCGATAGGAACCTCTCGGCATAGTTTTTGCACCGGAGTCTTCAGCTTCACGCACCTGAGTGAGGGTTCGCACCGCCGCTCTTCCAGTCCCTTTGTTCCCAGAAGATTGTTGTACCCGTACAGATGCATCAGAAGGAACTGCCTTTTCCGGTCCTCCCGGTCGATATCGGACCTCACCCACCAATTGCAGAATTTTGCATGCGGTCACTTTGTTGATCCCTTTGTCAACCAAATCTTCCACAAAGATGAACTCTTGCAAGTCCGACACATTGGTCACACCAAGCGTAATCATCACCTCACTTACATGAGGGGTATACACCCACAGGTGTGCGTTGCGAGCCATCCAATTTTCAATCGGCTCCTCCGGATTGTGAAGCTGAGTACTAGTGGATGCAGCCACCGAATTCTTTTGCTCATCAGCTTCTACTTCATCCAGAATACCTTTTTCACCATCTTTTTGTGACACATTGGTCATTTGCAGCGCTTTTGGTGCCGAGGATGAGGAAGATTCAGCTCCCCCACTCGCAGGTGGCTGAAAAGTGCTTCTATCCGTAAGCTCCCATCCTCTCTCTTTTTCAAACCGGACCTGATTGGCCACCTGTACCAAGTGTTTCAGTAGCGACAGCCGCTCCTCTGACATCTCGTCATGGGAGTACTTGCAGAAATTTAACCCTTTCCGGCAACGTCCTCTGAGGTAATAATCGAAACAGCAATGGTGGAACCCTGCGTCCCTTAGTGACTTCCTGGAAGCATTGTCCCAAGCTTTGCCGGGCTCCCAAGTCCCTTCCAATGCTACATCATCGTTGTGAAGGTACCTGCATGCAGTCCCATATTTACAACCACCTTGATTGTAATACAGACACAGCCGACCTTTTGGCTCACCTGACGTAGGCTCACCCTTTGATGCACCTTTGCCAAAATTGTACTTGGCCCGGAAGGCTAAATCCTCCCGCTCCTGCTGTGCCTCATCCACTGTACCTTCCTCTGTGGGAGGGTCACCGATGTTCCCGTCCTCATCATCAGCTTCTTGGCTATTCTTTGGATCAGTTGACCCCCCTTCTGGCCAACCTTCACCGTACCGACGATGCTCATAGGGACACCCATCGCCATTGCGACACCTTCCCTTATTGAAGAACCTGCACAGCTTGCTGTAACCAGGTGACAACACCGTCTTTGGTGTCATGTAAGCCTTTTTGTACTGGTCAGGATCCATGTAGGCTTCCATTGGCTTGTTCTCCCTTTTGCTCATGGATTGCACTGCACCATCAAGCTCCTGCAAAAATAGCTTGGTGTCCAACCAAAGCGCGTTCCAAAACTCATCTTCCCCTTGATTCAGCACCGTTGCCACCGCTTCACCCACAACTGGTCGAGAAAATCTCCTTTTTCTGCATGCCAGTTCGAAAAGCGCGTTGTGGTACTGTTTTCGGGAAAAAGTGGTTAACTTCCCCAAGCCTGTGCTTTCTGTACCATCAGGCTTCCAACCATCATTTTGCAAGATGCCATACGCGCGCCGAGCTTCCGCATTGAGGAATGCCTGATCCGCAACACACTCCTGTAAATCTTCCATCGGCCGACCTAACAGCATCCCAGTAATTTTGCCAACATAGGCTTCCTCTTCATTTCCATTCTCCAGAAGAGCTTTGTAGATCTTTTCTCCATAAAGTTGCCTTTCTTCTCGTTCTTCAGAAGACAACTCCTGTACCACAAGCTCTTCATCGGATTGCTCTTCCTCCTGTTTCCAGTCCCATTGACCGTTGGAATCTTGGTACCATTGACCAGCATACCATGAATCCGTCCACCACGTACTCCAGCCGCTGGGTTTCCACTTCCGCAGCGTCGAAGAAGAGTCCTCCGCGCCCTCTTCCAAAACCAGAAAGGTGTCCAAGATTATGGTACCATCATCTTCCACTCGTTTCACTGTTCCATTGACAGTATCACCAAACTTGAACTGATATGCATTGTTCCCTTCTGCAGGAATCAATACATTCATATCCCCATGGTCCAAAAAGGCTCCATACCCATTGATGCAGCGCACTAGACCCATGAGCTCATCTCCCTCTTGATAGCAATGTGGCCCAGGTGACTCCAAGGCTCCCGCTCGGGGCACTTTCTTTACACGCTCTTCAGAAACCATCTCTGTATCATCGGCTCCTGGCGCATCCTTTGTCTTCACCTTTGGGTCACACTGCTCGTCCTGCTCCACGAGTCCCACAAGCTCATCTTTTTTGTGCTCCTGGATTTCAGGACCTCCCTTTTTCTCCGCCAACGGCTTTGCCTCATCTGCTGTAGTTCGCTCGGTGTCGACTTCCGGTGAACTTCCAGACGGCAACGCTTCTCCCTTCATGGGAGTGGACCCATCATTGGAGTCCTTTGTCTCACCTTCTGCAGCAGGCAAATCTTCTTCCACTGCAGGGCAATTGAGTCGATCATCCACGGCAGGCACGCTTTCTTCCACCGCAGGCTCCTTTGGTTCCATGGCCTCCAAAGGAGAATTTCCACCATCATTGACCACAGCTGCCTCATTGGCTCCGGTGTAGCCCTTGTCATTTCGTTCCTCGCTGCTAACTTCAGGTTGCACCAGTGCGTCCACCTGTGAACCTCCATCATCAGCTGCTGCGGAGACCTGCGCCCCATTGTTGCAGTCGCCCGTGGAACGTACCACCACATGCACCTCAACCCGTGCTTCCTTCGCACTCCAGGTAATATCTGGCGCATCAACCCGCGCATCATTGGCGCTCCAGGCCTCATTTTTCAGATCATCCGTGTCTCCAGCTATTCCAGAAGCTTCTTTTTCCCCTTGAATGGCAGAATTCTTGGCACCAAACGAAGAGACCTCCTCAGTCGTAACACACAACTTTTTCTCTCCATCCTCCGAATCTCCAGGACCACCTTCCTGAACAACAGGTACCACATCCACCACTCGCTCTTCTGCAGCCGACACAGTTCCGATCACCTCATTGGGCATTTTCTCTTCTGGATCCACCAATTCCATCGCTGCCCCACCCTCAGAAAGCGCTTCTGTTTCTTCCCGATCCAGGTGTTGAGCTCCAGCGATGTTGGCTTGGTTCCCAGGAATCCCTTCCTCATCAGGAGAACCCGAGGTCGGGGCGTCACCATCAGCCCTAGGACCGCTATCCCTGATAGTAGAGGAAAAATCTTTTTCACCTAAACTATTTACACTACCTTGGAATGCCCTCGTAGACTCAGTCTTCGGAGTAGAGGATGAAGAATCCAGTGCCGCCTCCATTTCCAGCTCATTGCCCAAAGGAGACCCAACCACCTCGTCACTCTTCACCTTTTCACCTACCACCGGCAATGTCCACTTGGTTTCATGCGTATCCAGGCAGTAATAATATTGTCTCCCATCTTCATGGAGGTGCAATTCCCACATTGTGCCATCACACGCTTGGATCAGATGCTCGTCTTTCCGAAAACCGTCCCTTTCAGAAACCTGTCGCATCTCGTCCTCTTCTTCTGACAGCTGTCGCAACCGTTCAGCCTCCATCTGTAGGATCTCCTCCTCCCCCATGGCGTATTCAGCAGCAGGTGCAGCTTCAAAGCCGTCCGCACCCTTCTGTTTGTGACCGCTTCCACCACCTTGGGAACTCGAAGATGGACCCTTTTTGATCTTGTTCAACGGCCTCCTGGTCGCTTGTAGCACTTCTCCAATCAGATCGGTCTGAGACTCTTGGTCTACCATTCGACCCGAAGTCGAAGACGACGGCTGGTACCCGTGTTTGTGTAACACTCGTAAAACAGTCACCTCCATTTCACGATCTATGCCACCAGTCGCATCCCAGTTCCTTTTTTCACCAGGCTTTGGCGGTACAGAAACAGCACGTCCTTCAGCTTCAGCATTGCTAACCATATCCCTATTGGGATTCATACCCACATTGGGGCTTTCTGCAACCAAGGCCTCTTCCAGATGTTCTTCAGCGTCGGGAATCACCTCTTCCAACACCGCTCTTTCACCCAGAGACTCAGCTGCACCATTTCCAGCTCCACCATCTTGTCCACCATCCGAGGCAAGTTGGAGCCATCGCTTCGGAGAAGGCATTGCTTCTTGATCCCAAAACCTTGAAAGAACACTTAACCGCAGGGAACCTAATTTGGGCTCATAACCTACGGGGGGACAACCAAGGAAGGAAATCAACTCCCCTAATCGCCCTGATCTTGTATTTCCCAGATCGAACCAAGAGACAACCAAGAACACGGATAAGAGCAACCCAGGGGGGAAGGAAAGGGAGAAGGAATCCGCACCCTTACCAAACCCTAAGAACCCAGGCACTACTTTTTGAACTTGTGGCTTTCTGTTCAAGCCCATCTTGAGCCAAATACGATTACCGGGTTCATTAACCCTTCCAACTTCCAACACTAACTCCTTTCTACAATACCAATTGCAGCTCCGCACCCTAAACCCTAACCCTAAACCCTAAACCCCCCCCCCCTCCCTTAAGAGCCCCCTACAAGCAGAGCTTCGGAAGGCGGCCGCAGTGCTCAGCATCTCCCGCCCAGTGGTGTAGGCGAACTTCGCCTTCGATATGGCGGAGGCTCTGCTGCGGGAGTCGGCGCATTCTCTTCTTCGGAGTCTCGGGATTCTTTGTTTAAGGTTTAGGGTTTCTTTCTTTAGGGTGTAGGGTTCAGGAAGAAGGGTTTAGGGTTTAGAGTTTAAGGTTTTTTTTGCCACCCGCCTGGCTGACTGTAACATCGCAGTGCAGGGAAACGAATGGCAAGTATCGGCAACTATCTCAAGCTCTTGCCTTGGCACCAGTTTGTTTGACTGGTTTCCCGCCCACTATCTCAAACCTCGCAAGCAGCTGAGCTATCCATCCAAGACACAACTCGAAAAGTCACCGAAGTGTTGCTGTAAAGTTGGGACAGGGCAAGTCGGGAGAACTCTCGACATTCTTCAAACGTGTCTCACTTATCGGCCCGGTCGACCACTCTTCTTACGTTATCTTCACCACACACATCACAGATACGAGTGTATACATTAGCAGCTTCTTGCAAGAGAGGGCTTTCTTTCCGCAATCCCTTGTCGAAGTGGAGCTACATTTGATGCACTATCCCACAATTGTGGTTTAGGGTTTTGGGATTGTTTGGTGGGGTACAAGGCACCATCTTCAACTGCAAGAGCACTGCTGCGAGGAATCAGGATCAGGGACCTGTTATACTGAAAGCCTAAAGCCCATAGCACCTTTCTGAACCATTAATCCCCCCTTAAGACCTGTAGAGCCATTCTTGAAGTGCAAAGGGCCGAGCCCACGTATGTGCCCTTCACCGCGTAGTAGAGCAAGTTCTCCTGCTCCTGCCGGCGCGAAGTCGCCATTAGGGTTTAGGGTTTATGGTATAGGGTTTAGGGTTTTAGGGTTTAGGGTGCAGGGTTTAGGGTTTAGGGTTCAGGGTTCAGGGTTAGTGAGTGAAAAAAGAAAAGGGGGGCGAGGGGAGTGGGGGGGGGGCGGGGGGGGGGTGAGGGGGGGGAGGGAGGTGCTGGGAGCTCTCGTACCTTCAGAGTCTGAGGATTCCTGGAACCTTCAATTCGATTTGAGAAGCCCCAGAAAATGGCGGTGCATAAAGGGAGCCACCTTGGGCTACAAAGGAACGGGGTGCTCCTCATGTCTTGTCAGACCGTCAGATTTATGAAGAACTCAAGGAAGCACTGGCGTCGTTGAGCCAGAGCCAGAGAATAGCCGATGATGTTACAGGCTTGAAAATCGGGGTTGGGACTTGGAAACCCGAAACCCCAAACCCCTTTTGCTGAACCCTAAACCCTAAACTCAAGGCTTAGGCCGCCCCCCTGCAGTGGGGGGGTGGCGCCTAAGCCCCTCCACCTCGGTGGCGCAAGCCCAGGTCGTTCGCCCGCTTCCCTAGCTCGGAAGACGGTATAAAGTAACCCGCGTTGGCCCTGCATGGCGCTGGCATTTTTGGGGGGGCGTCCCGGAGCCCTCGCTGCATGCTCAACGGCTTGAACCCGCCAAGCCCCCTTGGGCCCCCTGCACTGAAAGACTGCTGCTGACCCCCTTGCCCTGCACAAGTCTTTATGGACCTTGCTGGCATTCTGCACCCCTTCTTCTGCATCCTCGTGACCACCGCGACGGAATGCAGAAGTTTTATTGTAAGTAAGCGATTGACTTGAGTTTAGGCATAAACCCTACAAGGAATATGTTTGGATGGTTTTGCCGCCTCGGACGGCGTGGGGTGGGAGAAAGGTGTTAGATGGCCCTCCGCAATCGGGCCAAAGCTGCTCTTCGCACCCCACGAAGCTTTCGAGCTTTTTCAAAGCCTAACCTTACAGCATCTACGCCCTATTACAGCAAACCCTAAACCCTACACCCTAAACCCAAAGCCCAAAACCCAACACCCTAAACCCTAAACCCTAAACCCTAAACCCTAAAACCTAAACCCTAAACCCTAAACCCTAAACCCTAAAACCTGAACCCTAAACCCGGCGTTTGGAAGGGCTCGAAGCCTTGCAGCTCTCGACTCGGACGCCTGGCCTTCTGCACGATCAGGAAGGAGATGATGCTCTTCACCACTTCCTCCTGATGCGACGTTGCTGGGTTCCTAAACCCTAAACCCTAAACCCTAAACCCTAAACCCTAAACCCTAAACCCTAAACCCTAAACCCTAAACCCTAAACCCCAGACCCCCCGTCGACTGTTGGGGGTCCCAGGGTTTAGGGTCCCGTGTTCCTGAAGCCTCTTTCATCCCCAAGCCCGTCTACATGGAGCCCCTAAACCGTCCCTTCATTCCCTAAACACGAACTCAAGGGGCTAAAGGAGGGACCGCCAAAAAAAAGTATATTTAGGGGTTATATAGGAGAATGAATTAGAGGTCCATTCTAATTAGGGGGCCCCTTCATCCCTCCCTAAGACCTCTTTGCTTAAGGGCGCAAAACGCGAACGCCCGCATCCCCAATCCCCATACACCCAAAACCCTGACGCCCCAATCCCCAATCCCTAAACCCCCAACACCCTAACACCCTAGCACCCCAACACCCTAACACCCCACCCAATCCCCGATCCCGAAACCCCAACACCCTCACACTCCAATCCCAATCTAAACCCTAAACCCTAATCAGGCCCTAATCCCTAAACCCCCCCAACACCACAACATCCTACTCCCCAATCCCTATAAACCCTAAAACCTAATCACTGGACTCGGCGAGGTCCAGATCCACTTGTACGGTTTAGGGTTTAGGGTTTAGGGTTTAGGGTTTAGGGTTTAGGGTTTAGGGTTTAGGGTGTAGGGTTTAGGGTTTAGGGTTCCACAGCACCAACGTCCAAGCGCTGCAAGTAGTTGCTTTCAGGGTTTCAGCTCTCAAGCTGGCGCACGCGCAGGCTCCGTTTTTCAAGGGTTTAGGGTTTACAGTTTAGGGTTTGGGGCAAGGATTTATGTTTTTGGGGTACAGGGCTTACAGGGTTTACAGGGTTTATAGGTTTTATAGGGTTTATAGGGTTTATAGGGCTTATAGGGTTTATAGGGTTTATAGGGTTTATAGGGTTCATATAAAGGGTTTATAGGGCTTCTTATAGGGTTTACAGGGCTTGTAGGGTTTATAGGGTTTGGGTCCTTTTGCCGCCCGTCTAAGGCTTAGCCGCCTCAGCCTTTCTATCGGGGCCTTCACTGATTACCTTACGAAGAACCAGTAAGACATGGTTAGACCCCAAACGTCAAATCCTAAACCCTAGCCCGTTTTTTGAACCCAGACTCCTGAAGTCAGCAAACTTTCTGTCTAGGCAAAACCCTAACCCTACAAGCGGATAGGCTAAGTCACATCTTTGCGTGTGAAGTCACATCTCCCAAGTGTCACGCGGCTTCGAGCGAAGTCACATCACCCCGCGTAAAGTCGTATCACAGAGACATATGCTGACGCCTTTCCCCCAATGTGCACGCACCGCACGCGCATGTTCTCGACACACATGCAAAATACGCACTTGTCACCGCACGCCTGGGAGGGGAGCACATTTTCTGCTTTTGGGTGCAAGTGGGTTCTGACCAATGTTGGAATTCGTGAATCCCCAGTGTGCATGCGCCCGAGAAACGACTTTGCACAAGAAGATACGACTTAACCTACCCGCTCCGAAAATCCTAAATCCTAAACCCTAAACCCTAGCCCTAAACCCTAAACCCTAAACCCTAAACCCTTCATGCGCCTTCTGCTCTTTGGGAAGCAAGGGGATGTCAACCAAGGGGGAAATCACCTCCGTTGCGCTGAACAGTCAGCATCCCCCCCAGTGTATTGCCCAAACAGAAGGAGATCTGCTTAGGGTTTAGGGTTTAGGGTTTAGGGTTTAGGGTTTAGGGTTTAGGGTTTAGGGTTTAGGGTTTAGGGTTTAGGGTTTAGGGTTTAGGGTTTAGAAGGAGCCTAGGGCCCTCGAAAGGGAAACAGATGTAGAGTGCAATGGTTGCGACGGGCAGCTGAGGAAGGTAAGCGCGAATGCCGCGTAAACCACACCCTCGAGCCTCTACAGCGAGCCTCTACAGCAGCCATGTCGCGCGAACACCCCAAACCCCGGAGCCCCAAAAACTACTCCCTAAACCCTAATTAAGCCTTAACCCCTAAAAACCTAAACCCTAAAAATGCACAACGCTAAAAACCGAAAACCCTAAACCACCCTAAACCCTCCCATTGGCCCCCAAGCCCAAGCCTCAAAAGCTCCACCCCGTACACCCTAAACCGCATCATCCTCAATCCCTAAACCCAAGGCTCCCAAACCCTAAACCCGGAAGACATCGAACTTTTAGCCCTGTGGCCTCCCCTTGCAGGTTTAGGGTTTAGGGTTTAGGGTTTAGGCTTTAGGGTTTAGGGTTTAGGGTTTAGGGATATTGAAGCACATTCAGGTGCCCCTGAACGCTAAACCGGCACGCTGCGCCTTGGTCAGCTGCGCACCAAGCTCCTGCAACTACGGCTGTGGGTTAGGGTTTAGGGTTGAGGGTTGAGGGTTGAGGGTTGAGGGTTGAGGGTTGAGGGTTTAGGGTTTAGGGTTGGGGGTTTAGGGTTTGGGTTGAGGGTTTAGGGTTGAGGGTTTAGGGTTGAGGGTTTAGGGTTTAGGGTTGGGGGTTTAGGGTTTTGGGTTGAGGGTTTAGGGTTTTGGCTTTTAGGGTCAAGCCATGCAACAACCCGACAAGGCTAAGAGGCTAAGAGTTGTAGGGTTTGTAGGGTTGCATGGAGTTTTTTCCCTCCTCACATGCGGCTACGTTGAACTTTCCGTAAAGCACCCCAAGCCCCAAAGGCCCTAAACCCTTTACCCTCGGGTTTTCGGTTCAGGGTTATCTGGGGCCCAGAGTTTTTGGGGCATAGGGCTGCCTGGGGGAGCTAGTTCTAAAGCCTACAAGCCCCAGACCCCTAAAGCCCGAAACGTCCGCTTTGAAGCCCTAAACCCTAAACCCTAAACTCGAAACCCTAAACTCGAAACCCTAAACTCGAAACCCTAAACTCGAAACCCTAAACCCTAAACCCTAAACCCTAAGCCCTAAACCCTAAACCCTAAACCCTACGTAATGGGACTTAGGCAGCTCTCCTCGCTCAGCTTCTTGTCGCCCAGAGCTGTCCGCAGCTGGTCCCGGAGCTCGGGCGGCAGGCTGTCACTATTCACGGCCTGTGAAACACTTACGGTTTAGGGTTTAGGGTTTAGGGTTTAGGGTTTAGGGTTTAGGGTTTAGGGTTTAGGGTTTAGGGTTTCGGGTTTCGGGTTTAGGGTTTAGGGTTTAGGGTTTCGGCCTCAGGGTTTGAGTTTTGGAAATTCCAGTCCTCAGGGTGTAGCCTTCATTTTGTTAGGGCCTGGGTCCAGCGTGTGATTCTTCCGGGCTGCGTCGTGTTCTCCGCGCCACGAACCTGTAAAGCAACTTGAACTTGATACGGAAACAAACACTACCCGTGCGCATCTATATGTGCGCATGTCTCTCTGCTCTACGCGGTACACTGCCCACCCCCTCTGCGCCGCCCCCACTCTCCCCCCCCCCCCCCCCCCCCCCGATCCCCACCCACACCCACAACAAGCTTCTGTTGTTGGGATGCCCAACATACCGCCAAAAAAAGCATGGGGCGCTAGTGCTTAGGGCTCCTCGCCTGGAGCTGCCGCCAGACTGGGTCTGCTTTCAAGCCGCCCCAATGGATCCGTCCACCCTAAACCGTAAGCCCGATAAACCCTAATAAACGCCTAAACCCCTAAACCCCAAAACCCCTAAACCCCAAAACCCCAAAACCCCAAAACCCCTAAACCCCTAAACCCCTAAACCCTAAACCGTGAAAAAGCCCGAAGCTGCTCGGGCTTGCAGCGGTCCCGAGAATGCTCGACTCGCCCGCACAATCGGAAAACACAAGATGTCCCAAGGGCCTACCGAGTTGTTTCGAGTCCGAATCCTACTTGGAGGCTTCATGGCAATTAGACTTACTAACCCGTTACAACGGTACTTGTAACTGTACTTAAAAACCATATTAGGGCACTTAAGAGGCTTTTCTAAGTGGGTTAGAAGTACAGCTATGATTGGTTAATAAGTACCATGGACCATAAACCTCAAGCTACACAGTGAACTTGATCTCTCGTCCTGTTTCGGAGCTAAGGCCCGGTCAGAGAAAACAAAGGCCGCAAGGGTTTAGGGTTTAGGGTTTAGGGTTTAGGGTTTAGGGTTTAGGGTTTAGGGTTTAGGGTTTAGGGTTTAGGGTTTAGGGTTTAGGGTTTAGATTTTCTTGCATTCAGGGCAAGTGGCGCTGGCCACTTGCTGCATCCCGCTCTTCACCAACCTGTGCAGTTCTGGGGGGCCCTGGTGCAAGAGGACATGTCATGTGCTGGTCGGAAGAATAGCTGGTCGGATCACGTACACCAGAAACTACGATTTGCTTGAGAACCCACAAAAACTAAAATTTAAGAGCAATAAAGGGAATACTATAATACGTTCCTTGGTTCCTTTTTTTTAAAATTATTTTTTTTGGGGGGGGGTTCTTAAGCAAATAGTCTTAAATGGCCCAGCTGCTCCATCTTTGCGAAGTCCGGCACCCCAGGAATGATCATGACCCGGCTCAAAACGCCACTCATGTCCTGTAGGGTCTAGGGTTTAGGGTTTAGGGTTTAGGGTTTAGCGTTTCCCTCTCCGATGTGCTAAGTGACTTTAGGGCGTGCAAGCTGCTGAGAACACCCGAATGCCCGCTGAAAGTTCCAATGGTCCAACTGCGCCGAAAAGTCGTGAAATACTGTGACTACCCGCCAAACCCTAAGCCCGAAGCCCTAAGCCCTAAACTCTAAACCTTAAACCCTTTTGCACAGGCTTGTCTCAGCGCGCCTGGTCGAGCAAACCCTAAACCCTAAGGGTGTCCAATCCAATGTAGAGAAAAATGGGCCTCTACCACCAGCCGTAAACCCTAAAGAAGTCATGGATTGATCCTACCAGGGTCTCGTTTCAGGCAAAGGGCCCCTGTAGGATTCGTAGGATTTGCTGGCTGCTGGTCTCCGCGCTTGAATGGCTTCTGGGGGTGCTGGAAAGGATCCCCCCCCAAAAAAAAGGAAAATAAAAATAAGGCCCGAAGTCTCCGCCCCCTAGACCCTGAACCCTAACACCTACGGCAGGCCAGTTGGTGGGGTTTGGGGTTTAGAGCTTGGGGTCTAGGGCTTTTGGGGGGGGGGGGGGGTGGTGGGGGGTCGGCGTCCTCGACCTGCTCCTCGGAAATGGTCCTTAGCGCGGACGATCATGGGAGGCTTGCGTAAGGTATCCTCCTTGGGTTTTGGGATTTAGGGCTTAGGGTTGTTTAGGGAAGCTGGTTCCGACACTCCAGAAGCTGTAGTGAGGCATCCACCCGCCTTGCTAAGATGCATACTGGCAGGTTCATGGGCACTCATAACCCCAGTGATAACCGTACTTAAAGCCTACTTCGGAGGCGCAGGGAGGGCTTAGTAAGGAGGCTTTTAAGTACAGCTGAAATTGGGGCTCTAAACAGTACCCATGAACCTCCAAGTAGTTTCTGCATGGCTAGACCCTTCGTCACCCAGCTGCGCATTCTCCGCAGCTCCCGCGCGCTGTGGGAGCTGCGCAGGCCGGAGGCATCGGGAGCGCAGAGGCACGCAATCGGAGAGCCGACGTGCACAGCCTTTTGCGACGGCTGGGGCCTATAGGGCCTCTAGGGCTACTTGTGGTTTCAGGCTTTAGGGCTCGGGGCTTACCGGTTGAAGGGTTTATGTATTCTTTGACATGAAAAGCTGTTGGGGAGAAAGATGCCACATGAGGATTGCCTGCGGGGTTTCTCTGTGTGGCGGGGGCTTGGGGGGGGTGGGCAGGGCGCTCGACTTGGGGTGTAGGGTTTCGTGTTTAAGATACATCTGGGTGGCAGTTCTCTTTAGGGCTCTTGGCGGGTGTACAGTCAATGGTTTCAGGAATGCACCAGGGGGTTTTTGCGAAGACGCACAACTGCAGTGCTCAGGCTGCCAATGCTGCCGAGCGGCCGCCGTTGAACTGAACTTGGGCTCCGCGGACGCTGGGCGTGATCATGGCAGCAACACTGGCTGATGCATCCTTCCCTGTGACCGCTTCATGTCATCTTCGGGACCCCCAATCCCCAAGTACTAACAAATCGCAAATCCTAAGCCCCTAAAATCCTAAAAGCATAAATGCCAAAGACCCCTGAAAGCCCTCTATGCTAAACCAACACTTCATGTCTTAAAGGCCCGAACCGCCACGAAAGCCCTACATCCTAAGAAGCTCTAAAGCCCTACAGACCCTGAAAGGCCCCTAAACCCTAGCCAAGCAGGGTTTAGAGTTTAGGGTTTAGGGTTTAGGGTTTAGGGTTTAGGGTTTAGGGTTTACTTGGAGGTTCACAGGTGCCGACAAGTAGGGTTCCAATCAGCGTTCTCAGGGGTCTAAGGTACCGATTGGGATGTTCCCCCCTAAACCAAAAGTCCTTAATTGGGATTAAACCCTAAACCCTAAACCCTAAACCCTAAACCCTCTAGTATAATCCCTGTTCAGGACTGTTAGTATAAGGGGGAAACATCCTAAGGTACCGAAGAAGCCTGGCTAAAACCTACCCAATCAACTCTCCAGGCTTCCAGCGCTGCTGGTTTAGGTTTTTAGGGTCTACCCGAAACCCTAAACCCTAAACCCTGAGCCCTGAGCCCTAAGCCCTAAGCCCTAAGCCCTAAGCCCTAAGCCCCAAGCCCTAAGCCTAAAGCCCTAAACCATGCAATGCATGCCATGGGCAAGGCGCAAGGCTTGACGGAGGCGGCAAGCCTTGAAGCGAACGCCTTCTTGGCTGCACTTAGCAGGGTTTAGGGTTTAGGGTTTAGGGTTTAGGGTTTAGGGTTTAGGGTTTAGGGTTAGCTGCCTTATTAAGAGACCCAATGAACCCAAAAAGGCTAAGGGTCTAAAGTTACAGTAAAGCACCTCAGAGCCTTGTGCCCACTGAACTCCGCAAGCTTAAAAAGTCGCCGGGCTTGGGGTTTGGGGTTTAAGGGGTAAGGGGTAAGGGGTAAGGGTTAAGGGGTAAGGGTTAAGGGTTTAGGGTGTAGGGTGTAGGGTTAAGGTTTGGGATCAGGAGCCCGCCATACTTACGGCATGTTTTCGAGACCCCTAGCCCCCACGCCTTGACCACCAGAAGCTCACTCGACACTGATAATGCATCTACCCTTCCCTGCCTACTCTCAAGCACCACACCTGCAACCGAAAGCCTCCTTCGGAATGAACATGGGAAACTGGCGGGTTCCTTGCGCCTATGGGTTTGGGGGGGTTTGGGATTGGGTGGTGTAGGGTTTAGCGTTTAGGGCTTAAGGTTTAGGGTTAAGGTTTAAGGTTTAGGGCTTAGGGTTTAGGGTATAGGGTTTAGGGTTTAGGGTTTAGGGTTTAGGGTTTAGGGTTTAGGGTTTAGGGTTTAGGCTATAGGGTTTAGGGTATAGGGTTTGGGGGTTAGGGTTTATCGCCCAAGAGCCGCACAGCAGACAAAGGAGAAGCACCCGCAGCGCCATCTGTGCCTTGGAGAATCACTCTAGGGTTCTTAAGGGAGGGGGGGTTTAGGGTTTAGGGTTTAGGGTTTCGGGTTTAGGGTTTAGGGTTTAGGGTTTAGGGTTTAGGGTTTAGGGTTTAGGGTTTAGGGTTTAGGGTTTAGGGTTTAGGCCCTAAGCCCGCAGGAGTTGCGGCTGTCGTGGGGGGAAGGCTTCTGGGTCGTAGTACAGCCTCGGCACCTTTTCTTGCAAAGGCCCTCTTGAACCCTTCCCTGTAATATTCAACCCCCCCCTACCCCCCAATATTAATTACCCCCCAACCCCCCCTACCCCCCAATATTAATATTACCCCCCCCATATACTATTTTAAGGGGCTGCGCCCATGGGCGGGCAGCGCACGCAGAAGCCCGGGGCGAGCAGTTTCTAAGCATGTTGAGGCCCCTAAACTCCCTTAAAATCTCTAAGCGTTAAGTTTCTAAGCATTTTCAGGCCCCTAAACTCCCTTCAAATCTCTAAGCGTTTGAGGCTCCTAGACTCCCTTAACGTTTCTAAGCACTTTATAAGGCCCCTAAACTCCCCTTTTCCAGCCCCGGGCTTAGACACGTCGCTTATGCCCGCCCTTTGGGGGGCATCATGCTCCTGATGCGCCCCCGGGGTCCCACCCCGGGAGCCGCTGATGCTCCTGATGCGCGCCTGGGGGTCCCGGGCTGGACCCGCTGATGCTCATGATGCGCGCCCTCTGGGGGCCTCCGTGGCGACGCAAAAAACCACGAAAAAAAAACCGTTCACCGGCGGCACGCGGGGGTCGGCGGCACTGGCGTCCGGCCTAATTCTGCTTCGCAGAAGGCCAGAGGCCCGCAAGGCTATTCCCGGGACGACCCGGGCTAAAAGGTCCGCATTTGCTCGGTCCTTTGGGGACCTCGCGCTGCCCGATTTAATGGCTACCGCCAATGCCGCCGACCCCATCCTAAGAATTGAAGCACGCTAACATCGGGCAGGCACCAAGAGGTGGGAGGGCGGGGGGGGGGGGCGGGAAGGGTGGGGGGCGGGGGGGGCGGGGGCAGCAAGGGCAGCGAGGGGCGGGCTTGGGCACATGAAACCACTCCATACGAACAGCAAAGCAGCGAGGGGGGGGGGGTCGGGCATGCACTAGAGCCCTAACAAGGTGGGGGCCAAGGGGGAGGGGGGGAAGGGTGGGGGGGTTCGGGCTTACGAGAGCCCTAACAAGGTGGGGGCCAAGGGAAAGGGCGGGAAGGGTGGGGGGGAGGGGGGGGCGGGGGAGGGGGGGGCGGGGGGGGGGGGGGGGGGGGTGGTATGTACCCAAAAGGGAAAGCTTGGCCTTAGGAAACCCTAAACCCCCCTTGAACCCCTCCCCCCCTAAACACCCTATAAAAAAAGCAAGGCCGGAGATGGGCGATACTTCCAAGGCTGCGCCACCTGTCGCACAGCAAGCCCTATAACCTATAGGGTTTAGGGTTTAGGGTTTAGGGTTTAGGGTTTAGGGTTTAGGGTTTAGGGTTTAGGGTTTAGGGTTTAGGGTTTAGGGTTTAGGGTTTAGGGTTTAGGGTTTAGGTGGCCAGGTCAGCAACGCCGGATTCATCCGTCAGAAACTTAAATCTTCAAGGCCCGGCAGCTGTTTTGAGCAGAAACTTGCGACCTCAATCCCAAAAGCCGCTAAAGGGACCTAAAGGTCGCCCTCCTAAAACCTAAGCCCTAAGCCCTAAACCCTAAACCGTGAACCCTGAACCCTAAACCCTAAACCCTAAACCCTAAACCCTAAACCCTAAACCAGAAACCCTTCTTGGTTGCAGCTCGAGATTGGCGGGCAGGATATGGGCTTGGATCTCATCCAAAGGAGCACAACGCGGATGCCAAGCACGGAGAGGTTTAGCCCCAGTGGCCCACCCGTCACACTACCCTGGGTTCTGCTGTTGTTTCTGCTGTTTTTTGATTGTTTAAGAATTTGGTTAGGGTTTAGGGTTTAGGGTTTAGGGTTTAGAGTTTAGAGTTTAGAGTTTAGGGTTTAGGGTTTAGGGTTTAGGGTTTAGGGTTTAGGGTTTAGGGTTTAGGGTTTAGGGTTTACGGTTTAGGGTTTAGGGATTCTAGAAGTAAGTGCTTGCAGCATCCACTAGGGTGCTGCCAAGTTGACTGGGCGTCACCTCCGATCACACTAGCAGAACCTGTCTGACTTAGGCTGTAAGGTTTTCAGGGGTTCGGGTTACAACTCCCTACTGGGCCACCACAAACCTCAACCCATCCCACAGAATCCGCCCCCCCCCCAAAAAGCCCTAATCTTAGAGCCTTAGGGTTTAGGGTTTGGGGCTTAACGTGAAAGATTGGGCGCGCCTTTTCTTTGCCCTTGGTCCTTCTGCGCATGCTCTCGGGCTTGGCAGCCCGGTAATCCCTTGGGATGTTCCCCAGGGATTGGGTTTAGGGGTTAGGGGTTTAGGGGTGAAGGGTTTTTTTGCCACCCGCCAAGCAGTCCAGCCGCGCCGCAGGGTAACATGTCGGGGCGATGTACAATTTCAAATGTTTCACTACTACGTCTCCGCTTCCTCTTGCCATCTCTTGCCATCTAGGTTAAGGGTTGAGGATTTAGGGTTTAGGGTTTCGGATTTAGGCTCTAGATGTTCCCTCTTATACTGAGGGCCCTCAATACTAAGGGCCCTTAATAGGGTTTTGCATGGGGGGGGGGGGGGGGGGGGGGGGGGGGGTAGTATGATTCCTAGTTAAGGACTGTCGCTATAAGGGGGAACATCCCAAAGTGACCTATTCCAACACGGGTACCCTGTTTTGGGGGCCCTAAACCCTAAACCCTAAACCCTAAAGTTTTATAAGGCAACCTTGACCCCAAGAAAGGAAACAGGGTACCACTATCCGTAGGAGGGGGGGGGAAGGGTTTAGGGTTTAGGGTTTAGGGTTTAGGGTTTAGGGTTCAGGGTTCAGGGTTCAGGGTTCAGGGTTTAGGGTTAGGGTTTAGGGTTTAGGGTTTAGGGTTTAGGGTTTAGGGTTTAGGGTTTAGGGTTTAGGGTTTAGGGTGCAGGGTTTAGGGTTTAGGGTTGAGGTTTAGGGTTTTTTCAGGTTTAGGGTTTAGGCTTTAGGGTTTAGGCTTTAGGCTTTAGGGTTTAGGGTTTAGGGTTTAGGGTTTAGGGTTTAGGGTTTAGGGTTTAGGGGAGGCGGAAGGGGGAGGAGGGAGGGGACTATTTTTAAACCCCAAGCCCTAAACCCTAATCCCCAAACCTTGAACCCTAAACCCTAAACCCGGATAGGCTCTGTTGCCCATGACAAGGAAAGCGAGGACACACTGGCAACTCCGTCACTTCAGAATCTAACCGAAGAAGTGACAGTGCCCTAAACCCTAAACCCTAAACCCTAAACCCTAAACCCTAAACCCTAAATCCTAAACCCTAAACCCTAAACCCTAAACCCTAAACCCTAAACCCTAAACCCTAAACCCTAAACCCTAAACCCTAAACCCTAAACCCTAAACCCTAAACCTTAACCCTCCCCCTGACCAAGCTCAGGGTTAAGGGTTTAGGGTTTAGGGTTGAGGGT